GCCATGATTCTCCCGCTCCAGACAGACGCAGGTTAAGATCCTCCCTGGTAAGCCAGCTCATGGGCTACATAGAATATTAGAAATGGGTTAGAACAATATGTAAGAGCTAGCCAATAAGAAGCTGGAACTAGCCCGGCCAGGCAGTGTTTGAAAGAATACAGTTTCCGTGTAATTATTTCTGGGTATAAACTAGCCATGCGGGCGGCCGGGTGCCAGGGACGCAGCCCTGCCGCTCTTATTTCAACAAGAAAATCAGAGACATGCATTGTCAGAGCCTGTTTGACTTTTTTTCCCCGTTTAGGATTAAAAAAAAAATGCCCAGTGTTATTTAACCCTTCAAAACCTTTGTCCTTTCTATACTTCCCTGGAGCACTGTTTTTACCCAAATCTAGATTCATCTTGGAGTAATGTGCCACTTATATGTCTGATCGTCTCTGATCCTTACTAATAGAACTTCTAGGCTTCAAACTAAATTCAATTATTCCAGCCTCTTGAGGATACAAGAATTTGTTTCCCCTTTATTAACTATTAATAAGAGATATTAGTTTTGACTATAAAACTTTGTTATCAGCACAGATGAATTAACAAGAGACAAAAAAGAAAAAGACAGTTTGTACGTCATTATGGGATTTAGAAGCTAACTGAGGCCCTACGAGATGGCTAAGCAGGGCAAAGTGCCTGTGGACAAGCCTGATGATTCACGTTTAATCCCCACGCCACACATGACGGAAACACATGACTGCTACACGCTGTTCTCTGACCTCCACACATGGACTGTGGCATGTACTAGCCCATAAATAAATGCAAAATAAGATTTGGAAAAAAGAGCAAATGATAAGTTATAATCCCTATCACCTGACCCTGCCAGGCTAAATGCCATTTCCACATCCATGATGACTTTTAGAGAACAATCATTTTTCCTTATGATTTCATACAAAGGCCTTACCCTGTCAGTATCACAGATAGTGTGCTTAATTGTATGGAATACCAATGCACCCTGTTATGTTTTGTAGGCGGGAATATTATATAAAGCACTATAAAGTTTCTTTACAAAAGGAACACTAGAACTAACCTATGATCCAGCAATACCACTTCTGGGCATGTATTAAAAGAAATGCAATCAATATTGCAGATGAATGTCTAGTGCCCCCTGTTCACTGTACCACTATCACAACATCTAGGGATGCATAGATAAATGTTCTGTGTTCTGAAAACAATGACATCTTGAAATTTGCAGGCAAATGGAACTAGAAAAAAGCCATCCTGAGTGAGGTAACCCAGACCCTGAAAGACAAATATAATATGTACTCACGCATAAGTATATAATAGACATAAAGCAAAAGATAACCAGAGAACCTAGGTAACAAAGAGGACCCTAAGAGAGACATACATGGATCTGTCTAGGAAGCGGAAAAAAAAGACAAGATCTGAGTAAATTGGGAGCATGAAGGACAGGGGGAGAGGGGTGGGAAGGCAGAGGGTGGAAGGGGAGTGGGGAAAAATGTATAGCATATTCCTATCCAAACAATTAAAATGAGAAGGATTTACTAAAAAAAAAAAAAAAACTGTGTTCTGGGTTACCATGATAACCTGTGGATCTCTTTGTAGAAACTCTTGGCTATTTCATATGTGTCCTATACACTATAGCTTTAAAAATATGCATGCATATTAAAATACATAGGAACACAACATGATGAAAGATATCAAGTACTGATATTGTTCTTAAATGATTTATTTGCAGATGGGAGTATTTACAACAAGCATGAAACCAGCAGGATTGATGCATGGAGTATGAGAGATGTTACTAGATCAACCTAGGCCAGAGATAATATTGCCCTAGACCAAGAAGACAAGGTGGATTTGGATACGGAAGAATCTAAACACACTCCTAGCACTTTCTATAAAAAGAAATCAATGGAACGAAATGAGTACAGGAGAATATTTTAGAGAAGACAAGTAACACAGAGCAAGGGCTGCAGCTCTGTGCTTTAAAATAATTCCATTGTACAGGTTTGCTACTTTTAGGCTATGACACAGAAAAACTCATTTAACCACTCTGTCTCATGTCTTCAGACCTGTTGTAGGGTAAAAGGGACAACTGGAGTAGGAAACCGACCAATCACTGAGCACCCTGACTCTGAACCCAGTCTGAGAAAGAAACACACCCTGTTTTTGAGACCTGGGCCGGGGAGAGAAATATCTTTATCCCTAAACCCAGGACTAAAGACGTGTGCCCTGGCTCTGAAACTACTGTCACAGAAACACACTTTGTCCCTAGAATTAGAGTCAGTGAAAGAAATATACCCTGGTCCTAAGATTAGAGTCAAAAAGCTAAAAAGGACCAGTGAAAGAAACATAGTTTGGCCATGAAGTCAGAGTCATCTCTGCCCCTGCCCAACTGCACCAACCAATCGCAGGGCAGGAAACCAACCAATCACTGGGCACCCTGACTCTGAACCCAGAGCCAGTGAAAGAAACACACTCTGGATCTGAGACCTGAGCCAGGGAAAGAAACATCTTTATCCCTGAGCCCAGAACCAAAGAAACATGCCCTGACTTTGAAACTAGTGTCAAAGAAAGAAACACACTTTGTCCCTAGAATAAGAGTTAGAGAAAGAAATATGCCCTGGTCCTAAGAGTCAAAAAGCTAAAAAGGACCAGTGAAAGAAACAGTTTGGCCATAAAGTCAGAGCCATTTCTGCCCTGACCAAACTAAACTTAGCAATCCTTGAGCAGGGAAAAACTAACCAATTCCTCTTCTCCCTGGGAAAACTACGCCCCTAAGAAGCCCTGTATAAGCCTCTCTGCCCCTTCAGTTAAAGGCCACCATTTATCCCTCCCTGGCAGAGGCAGCCACTCTCCTGGACTCCTCCTTCCCAAATAAATTTCTTTCTCCAAAGAGTCTTGGGTGACAACCTTCATTTGCCTGTGCAGACTAGAAGAACCTGGCTGGGATGTTCCTTAGGGGACTGAGCTGAAAAACCTTGCTGAGATGCCCCCTGGGGGCCTCAGCAAGGTGGAGCAGCACAGAACCTTGCTGGGACACTCCTTAAAGGGGGCTGAGCAAGGCTGGGCAGAAAAAAGTAACAACTTTTCAAAGGAGTAGGGGCTTCCCCTTTAGCAGGGTGTTAGCAAGAGAAGAAACATCTTGGGCCGGAGAAGGAGAAGAAGCAAATAGCCCTGCTAGGTCGCTCCCTTAAGGGAGCAGAGCAGAGCTCAGCTATAGCTGCTCTCCAGGAGAAGAGTAGGATCACTATAACCTGCGGGGAGACCATTCCCCATTGCACCCCAGCTCCAGGTAGCCTGACTTCCTCCAGGGATGAGCTGTCCTATTGTGGCTCGAAGTATAACCTGGCTTCCCGATAAGTCAGGATATCTCTCCAACTCTACAACTGTAACATATTCCTCAATACCTGTAACTTGGTATAATATTGCCCAGCTCACTGTGTTATAAAATTTACACGGATTACAATATACTTCAGATAGTCCTGAACTGTATAGTGTGGAAAAATCAAATTGAGCATAAGCAATCATGCATGTTGGATGTGCCAAGCTCCTGCCCCTGTGACTTGCCTGCCATGTTAGACTGGAACCCAGAATTGTGAGCTGAGTCACACTTTTTCTGCCTCAGTTTTTCTCAGGATATTTTCTCACAAAAACAAAAATAAACTAGGATCTACCTTTTGGGTAGAAATGAGAGACAGAGCCAGATAGAAAATGAAATGAAAGTACCTCAGAATATGACAGTCAAAGTATAGAAAAAAGGAATATCCAATTTATATGATCCTGTATGTGTGTGTGTGTGTGTGTTTGCTTGTGCACACATGTGTGTGCAAGATATTTTGGAGGAGATAGTGAAGAACAAGGATTTTCATTCCATCTCTCAATATTAAGAAATATGAAGATGAAAACATTTGGTCTCTAGAGAGATGTTTCATAATGATCGGCCATCAAAGGACCACAGAGGGAAAAAGCTCCCACAGAAATTGAGGAACTTATTGGCTGTGTACCATCAATAGTAGCAGAAAATTATAGAAAATTTTGGAAGTTATGGTGAGAGGGAAGAGATGAAGGAAGGATTGGATCAGAGACAGGAAAGGAAAAAAGAAGCGTAATCCCAACAAACAAGAATGTTTAAAATCTTGGATAAAAATATCTTATGTATGATTATAAATATATACATTGCCTAAATGTGATTTTTTTCAACATAATTTACTCAATACAAGATTGGTTTATAAGTAAGTGTTCCCAAATGTGACTGGACAAAAAAAAAAAAAAATCAGTGAAATGATTCCGAATGATAATCTGTTATACTCACAGATCAGATTGGTTCATAGTTCAGTTGTCATCAGAGAGGCTTCACCCAGCAACTGAAGGGAGCAAATGCAGAGACCCACAGTCAAACACTAGATAGAGAGAGAGAGCCCAAATGAGATCTCCATAAGGTTCCTCCCTTGAAGTTCGAGAAACCACAGATGATGGGGAGGAGTAGCTGGTGTCAGAGGGACCGAGGACACCAGGAGAACATGGGCCCACAGAAACAACTAAGAAGAGGTCATGGGGAATCACAGAGATCGCAAAGCCTACACAGGTCTGTGCTAGGTCCTCTGAGTATGCTATGGCTGCTACCTTAGTAGGTTTTGTGGGAGCGGTGGTGTCTCTGACTCTTCTGTCTGCTCTCGGGATCCTTTTCCTCCTACTGGGTTGCCTTGCCCAGCTTTGATGTACTGGTTTTATCGTATCTTATTGCGCCACGTTCGGTTGATGTCCCTGGGAGGCCTAGTCTTTTCTGGGGGAAGACGGAAGACCTGGATCTGGGGAGCAGGGAGGTGGGGGAAGGACTGGGAGGAATAGTAAGAATATATTGTAAGAGAGAATAAATAAAAACAAAAATAAAATAAGTGTTCATGTAAACTAAAGTTATTAATTAACTTGGCCCAACTTCATTTTGGCTTATAGTAAAGTTAAAATTTTAGGAACAAAATGACAAACTACAAAGGAATACATTTACAGAGATGGCCAATGGTCTTAAACATTTCTTTGGAACAATAAGAATGAGTCTTTAAATTTATTTTTTTTTAAAATCAATATATACATAATCATACAATTCTGATAAAAAATGTTAGCTCCTTGATCCTTATCTCAATTCTGGTTCTACAACATGGTCCCTACTAATTGAGGGTAAAAATTAACTTTAAGAGGAGAGTTCTCATACTCTAGGATATGTTTTCTTACCTATTAATTGTCCTCCTTTGAAATACTAAACTCCTTATTCCAAAGATTAAGAGAATATCTCACCTCTGTGCCTTTAGATATGTTTTGTATGTGAATATGCATATAAAGACAATTTTAAAACACTAAAAAAATTTTAAAAGGTTTTAAGAATATTTATACAACTACTGTCTTTTAAAAAACAAATGAGTTTTTCAAGAGCCATGTCTTAGCCAAGCCTATGTAAGAGAAAACCCTAAACATTTTTTATTGTCATTTAAAAAAAAAAAAACACTTCAAAAAAGATTTGAAAACTCCTGGCTTTGTGTGTGGGCACAAAGTGGTGACTGCAGGAGATTCCTGTGGCCTGATCCTCTGTTGGGGCCTGGCAGGGACAGGCCCACTACTGGTTCTGCTTTCTCAGGATTTGTTCGGCTGGGGCCTGCCAGGTGAGCAGAGTGTGGCTGCCCAGCTGCTGCCCAGCTGCTGTCCCTTGCTGATGTTTCTGGAGGCACTAAGCCAAAGAGCCCGTTGGCCGGGATGGGATGAAGAATGTCCCAATCAACCAGGCTGGCATGGGTGTGCTCTATGCCCTGCCAGATGTGCTGGGGGTATTGCTCCTGATCAGGACTGTTCTGCTGGGGGAGAGGTAGCTGCGGTGGGAGACCCAGAGCCCTCGGGGGTAGCATGGGTCTCTGTTTACACTTAGCTGATAGAGTGTCATGCACGGGTCCTGTGGCCTCTGCCTAGCCCACCTGATGTTTACCTGCATTTGTCTGGAGGAGGTGCCAGCCCAGCCTGTTGGCTGCTCCCCCACATGTCCCACACATTGCCCACAGCCTGCTCCCATAGTGAATGGCTGTCCAGCCTCCCAGCCCTGGTCAGCACTGTACAACTGTTTTTTCAATGCACAAATTGGTGTTCCTCCTCACATTTAGTTCCGTTGTCCCTCCAGCCTTCGACCTGGCGCTGGTATCCTAATTGCCTGGCTTCTGGAAGGTATCGCTGTACATTGTTCTCAGGTGGTCTTGTGGATGTCTTTCTGAAAATAGTTATTTTATATGATTTGTCATGAAATTTGTTCTAATAAATCATTCTTCCATGTGGCAGCAAAAATAAACAAACAAAAAATACTTTAAGGCTGACCAAGGCATTTTAAGAGTTTACAGATAATCTTAATGTGTTACATCATAATGATATATTTAAAAATAATCATCTGAGTCATAAATGCCAAACTTCATCCTGCTCTGGATATTTTACCCTACTTTTGATGCCTCACAGACATTCAAAGAAGGAAATGCTTATGCCAGGAGTGGAGGCAGAAGCAGGTATATGTTATGCCTCAAGTCTTTAACAAATAATTTAAATTGGGTTAAGAATAAAAAACTATTAATGCATTTTACCTTTATGCCTTGCAACATACGCATATTCACGTACATTACCACAAACAGGAACAGAACACATGAGAATACTCTCACATGCACACATGAGAATACTCTCATATATGACCATGCTTGGAAAGTGCATGTGTCTGTATATGTTCATGCTCAGTAACTGTAAACATGAGAAAACATGCATCTGTACTGACACGTGACCATGATGAGAAACTGCCCACATATGGACATGTCCTTATGCATTGACATATAATAATAGGAATTGCATACACATGAAAACACACATATACACTGACATATGACCATATATATGAACATGCATAGATGCACTGATGTGTGACCATACCTGGAAAGTACATACACATGAACATGCATATATATGCCAATATGTGCATATATATGCATGTAACTCTGTCTAGTGTCTTAGTTTTTCTCCTGCTGAGATAAACACCATGACCAAAAGCCACTTGGGGAAGAAAGGGCTGATTTGGTTACTTACATCTCCTGAGTCACCGTCCCTTGAGGAAAGCCAAGGCAGGACCTCAAACTGGAGGAAATTGGAGACAGGAGCTGATGCAGACGCCATGGAGGGGTGCTGCTGACTGGCTTGCTCAGCCTGCTTTCTTACAGAAACCAGGACCACCAGTCCAGGGACTACACCACCCACAACTGCTTGGACATTCCCTCATCAATCACTAACTTAAAAAATGGACTACAGGCCTGACTACAGCCCAATCTTATGGGAGCATTTTCTCAATTGAGGTTCCTTCCTCTCAAATAACTCTAGCATGCGTCCAATTGAAAGAAAAACACACACACACCAAAATACTAGCCAGCAAACCCAAGAAGTGCACACATCTGAACATGTGCCTATGTGCCAACATATAAACATGGTCAGGAGTATAGGTATTAGCTCTTCTTGGAAGTTCTGGTAGAATTCTGCATTGAACCCATCTGGTCCTGGGCTTTTTTTGGAAGGGAGATTTTTGATAACAGTTTCTAGTTCTTCGCGACTAACAGGTCTATTTAGATCATTCACCTGGTCTTGGTTTAGCTTTGGTATATGGTACTTATCTAA